TTTACTGCACCTCTCACGCAAAGTCAGTTGGCATAGACTCCAGCTAAAGTATGAAAATGATGAGCTCAAGTGCTTTCGAAGATGGGTATTTTATAGGGGTTTTTTTTCACATCATTGTGTAAGGGTAAAGCAATTGTCGATTTGTAATAATAATAATAACAATAATAAATGTGAGGCCTTCCAGCTTCCTGGAATGAGTAGTTTCAATTTCACGAGCTCCACCGAATTGCTTAAATATACAATCAATCCACTCCAGCTAAATGTTCGTTTCGGTTTTGCGGCAGCTCCTTCACACTGGGTTGACCCCTGAAATAAAAACACGCAGTGTGCCAGAATAGACAGATACATGCGTGTAATGAGTCATTGTAAAAACAGCAGCCAGACTGTCTCACGACTGACAGATTGGCCCTGCGCGCGCTACCCCGGGACCGCCCACCACTCCCACCCGTCGCAATGCCCTCCTCACCTCTCCGCCCCTGCACACGCACTGCCCCACGCCACACTACTGACACACACATGACGGACATGAGGCTATTGCAGGATACAAATATTGACTCCAAATGCAGAGCGAGCGCACCCTTGTTTACTTCCTTGTGGCGTTGGAGGCCGAGGAAAACCTTGCGTGTGTGCCTGCGCACCCGCGCGCTGGTGCATCCCACCGTCTGTAACCGCTGACCTAAAGTTGAACCCACACGCACACACGTAGATATCATTTTTATAACCTGAACGGGTGAGGGCTCAGGAGAGCGAAGAGAGAGAGAGGAAGAGAGATGGTGGTGGTGGTTGAGAGCGAGAGCGGGTTAAAGTCTTCTTGGAGATTAGGAAGAAGTTCACTGTTGAAAGTCGACCAATAAACACTGGGAGTCAAGCTGAGGGCAACACAGTTTTCCCTGAAGTGTGAAATCATGATTTCATTTTTTGAATCACGAAATAGATTCACTCAATTGATTTTTTTGACTTTTCAGAAATGAAAAAGGAGAAAAAATGTCCACACAAGTGAGCAAGGCAGGCTTAATAGATTTCTTGAGTGTGTTCAATTTTCAGGGTCCTGGTAAAGAGATTTTCATCTTTTTATAAACACACTTGCTAAACCCCAGTGGATCGAAAAAAGATGACGTGGAGAAGAAGTTATTGTAGTAAAAAATATATATTTAGACAAAAAAAAAAAAAGGAAACATGGCTCGCCTGACTTCTTGATACGCAGCATAGGTTTAATTCAAGTAAGTGACTAACAAAAAACAAAAACAAGCCCCCACCCCAAAAAAATAAATGTGACATATGTCCACACAAATGAGCAAGTTACTAAACAGACATTAAAAGGTAATTTCTTTATTTTTGCTATTCAATAGCCAGAGGTTGAATTGGGCATAAGAACATACATTTTAGTGCTGATTGATCTGTTTTTTTTTGTTTGTTTGTTTTTTTTTACATTTTGAGCGATGTAAAACAATGATTTAGAACAAAAAAAAATATTGTCCGGTTCACACTGTTGACTCCCACCAAGACAAGGGAAGAGTGAGGAGGGCGTGGCTATATTTCTGACGAGAAAGCGTTTTTGGAGAGTAGTTATGATAATTTAGTATCGTATCATTTTCCTTATCAAAAACACACACACAAACGCATGCACGCGCACACACACACACACACACACACACACACACACACACACACACACAGAGTTCATGTCATGATGTCTTTCATGGTTGAAGAGTTCAGCTCAGGGAAATTTTACTTACTCACTTATAGGAAGAATCTTGGCTCATCACCTCTGCACCTGTCCTACGCAATATTCTTCTTGTCTCAAAGTTGGCTTCTATTCAGGTGGAAGGGTAGGCGGGGTACACCCTGAACTGGTTGCCAGCCAATTGTAAGGCACACAAAGACAAACAACTCTTCACACTCATAATCACACCTGGGACTATTTAGAAAGATCAATCAAGAACTAAACCATATCCACACACGTAGGAATTTAGTGAAACAAGACAATATGCTTTTTCTAAGGACAGGGGTAGTCTCAGGTCCGAACTTAGTTCCCAATGGCCACCCTGCCCTTGAAACTGTCCATAAGCGCGAAGCGGCACGGTGGACAATAGATGGATGTATGGATGGAATGATGGATGGTTGGATGTGTGTGTGTGTGTATGTATGAACATCTGCAAAGATGCAACTGCGGCTAGGCGTGGAATCTTATGAGCAGCTTTTACTGTCCTTTGAAGAGCCTTCCTCCTTGCACCTGAGCTATGATGCTGACGCTGAGGACACTCTCCAGTGCGCATCTGTAGAAGCACCCCAAGACAAAGCTCCCCACTCTGGCATGTCACAAATTTTGGAGGAAGTAGAGAAGTTGATGTGTCTTCTTCAGTAGACAGAAAGTGTTTCACATCCAGATGAAATCCACTGAAAGATGGACCACAAGGTACGTGAAGCTGGAGATCACTTCCACTGCTGCTCCTCCAAAGAGCAGTCGGGGCATCTGGCGTTCCTTGAGCTTCCTCACATCGAGGCAAAGATTGCTATTTTATTTCCAGTCCACCAGATGTTTTACCTCATCTCTACTTGGACTCGTCGTTGTTCATGATGGTTGTCACTTGCGCTGTGTTGTCCACAAATTTCACTCGATGACAGTTCAGGAATTTCACAGAGTAGTCATAGGTCAGTAGTGTGAACAGGAGGGGGCACAGCACACAGCCCTGGGGTGAGCCAATGCTGAGGGTAATGGAGGAGGAGATGTGGAACCTGACAGCCTGTGGTCTGTTGTTCAGAAAATCCAGCAGTGATGGACTCGGCTCAAGAAAGTTCAGCGAAGATTATTTGTCTGTGGGATGATGATGTTGAATGCGGAAGAGAAATCCAGGAAGAGCAGGCAGATATACGACTTCAGACGATCAGAATAACAATCCAAACATTATTTACCTGTGTTTCCGAAGAAAAATAATTTCAATGGTGGAATTTTAGAATTGATTAACCCTTGCATGGACCCTGTAACCCGATTACATGATAAGCTGTCCACTGTAGTGACCGCTGTCCCTGAAAGGGTTCATTTCAGACTTCTCGGAGAAGCTCAGTGAGCAGATTGAAATTCCCAATTGTTGTTCAAAATGCTAAAAATGTCAGGACCTTGCTGAAATTTAAAGTCTCCGCATTAAATAACATTATGATTCACTATGACCTCATTTTGTTGTCCAGTGCAAAAAGGGGGTCGACCAGAAAGAGCAAACAAGGCGCTCACTTGCATGTTTTCAGACAATTTTCACAAAAACTGTACTTATGCCAGTTTTGTGGAGCCCCCGTGTCCACAAAAGCACAGGCAGTGAACATATCCGGGACAAGGAATGATTTACAGTTGGAGAGGAGACCTGTGACGCAGGTGACATTAAAAACCAACACCATGCCGAGTATTTTCATGAGCCAGAGGCGGGCTGATCTGCGCGAGGGAGTCGCAACCATTCGCGATCCCTGGCAACACAGATGGTGTCTTGTAGGTTGTTATGTACACAAAACAAGCAATGCCGCGCTTTTAAATTAAGCCATTGAGACACCGCACAAAAATCTTTCTGGTCCACTCGTTCTCCAAACTGGATTTTGTGCCATCTAGAGACCATCTTTAAGAATTAACGCCGAGCCTTCACAACGATATATATATCGTTGTGAAGGCTGGTCTAAAAGGTGAATTTTTCACTTACCACGGCAGCCAGCAAAATTATTTTCTAATTCGTTTTTACAGTTATTAAATGTACATGAAAAATAATGAAGTGATCGTATTAATTCGAGTCAAAATATTCTTTTTTTTTTTTAACCGCTGAAAGTGGTGGACGTATGTGAAGTCTCCCTTCAGTCAGGGGTGTCAAACACAATTCAGTCGCGGGCCAATTTGGAGTTGCGTCTTCCCTCGGAGGGCTGTTATGACAGTGAAACCACAAAATTATTACTTGTAAAAAAACAAATGAATAGATTGAAATCAGTCAAGTCGATGATAATACAGGCGCTCTCCGCTTTACGAACTTTCGTGTTGCGAACAACGGTACATACGAACATTTTTGCGGGTACAGGTATGTCGAAAAATGTTCTCGGACAGAGATGCTGTCGGTCAGATTTTGTATTGCGCGCCTTTTTCTGAGTACTGTAGTACTTCTTTCCGCTGCTAATACCGACGTGAGGCGCTGTGAGAGGAGGAGGAGGAAACGCTTGTCCCCATGAAGAAGTTCGTGACAGAACTCTCTCCCCCTCCATCATCTCCTTAAGCCTTCGAGTACATCTTCCAAAAGTATGTTAATACAAAATATAGCACTGAAGCAACTTACGTACGAATTCAGCCAGCGAACGATCCTTCGGAACGTATCTCGTTCGTTACCTGGGGAGCGCCTGTAGTTTGTTTAATTATTGTTCAAGTGAGTGTAAACAGGGTAACAAAATGACTGCAAAATCTCAACGTTATTTATTTCATGTGACAATTTGACATTCAGGTGCACATTTTAGCAAGTTGGCACACGATTTACTTTCGCGGGCCACGTAATATGATTTGGCGGGCCGGATCTGGCCCCCGGGCCTTGGGTTTGACACTGTGCTATAAGTTAAGACCTTAGCTATGAATGACACCCAGAGAGAAGGATTAAGAGATTCTTCACCCTCCGCTTTTTGTATTTTGTGAAGCAGCTGAAAATGCTCTTGAATGCAAGCTCGCCCCCGCAGGCACGATCGCTGATCCTACAAGCGGGGCTTAAACCCGACCTCATGAGTGTGTAAACTAGTTGCCTTATAGCCAACAAAAGGCGTCTTGGGGACGCGCTTCTTTTGTCTCGCGGGGAATCATCACCTTTTCTCAGTGAAATCTGCCGAGGATTGTTCTGCGTGCTACGGGAGGTAAAAGGATTAAAAGATGTGTGCTGGGCCCTCGGAACAAATGGTGAGGCAAGTCAGGCAGCAAGGACGGGGCCGGGGGTGGGGGGGGGCGGGGCCAAGCGACACCCACAATTAAAGATGAACTTTGAGTGAACTAATTTATCTGCGGGTGGAGAAGGTGACAGGCTGCGCGGACTTCCCCGGTTAGCCTATAAAAAGGGCGCCTCGCTCGCTCCACCGACATTCACCTGAGCGGATTCGCTGCCGAGACCGACATGGCTCTGAGCACGCTGCTGGCTACCTTCCTGTGCACCATCGTGCTTCCCGTTCTGCTCTTTTTGGTTGCCGTCAAGCTATGGGAAGTTTACATGACCCGGGGTAGAGATCCGAGTTGCACCAGCCCCCTACCACCGGGGTCCATGGGTTTGCCTTTCTTTGGGGAGACGCTGCAGCTCATCCTGCAGGTAAGCAAGGTGTTGACGTCATAAGTATACCATCGTGATGATGACTACTAGGTCCATATACTGTATTATTTATTTTTTTTATTCGGGATGTTGTCCAGAGAAGAAAGTTTCTTCGCATGAAGCGGCAAAAGTACGGCTACATCTACCGGACTCACCTATTCGGGAACCCCACGGTGCGCGTGACCGGCGGCGACAACGTGAGGCAGATTCTCCTCGGGGAACACAAGCTCGTGTCCGTCCAGTGGCCCGCCTCAGTGCGCACTATCCTGGGCTCGGATACGCTGTCAAACGTGCACGGAACCCAGCACAAAACCAAGAAAAAGGTGAAGACTTAAAGCTCATTTGACAAATGCGCGGTCGTTTTAGTCACTTGAGAAACTATTGAAATACTTTTCGACCGGGAGGTATATTCAGCAACACGGTGTTTAAAAAAAAAAAAGCACATCTCCTGCTTTTATTAATAATAAAAACAACCATATTTAAGTATAGTTAACATAAATAGTTCAAGTCTATTATGTTGTGTGATACCCAAGAGTTGGGGGGGGGGAAAAAATAAACTGAATTCCTGTTTCGTCTCATGGCTTTGTCTGTATACAGTAATCCCTCGTTTATCGCGGGGGCTACGTTCCAAAAAGAACAAGTGATAAGTGAAATCCGTGAAGTAGTGAGCTTTATTTTTTTTGCATTGATTATACAATACTTAACTACATATACAATGAAATCAAAGACCAAAACCTGTTTTCAGGCCCAATGACAAAAAAAAAAAACAACAAACAAACGTTTTCAACAAATAACTATAATAGTTTTTGGAAATACTGTACTGTCGACATGCGGCGCTGCCGCCGCATTCTGATTTAAAAGATTAAAAGCATTAGAAAACTGCCCAAAAAAAAATCTGTGAAACAACGAAGCTGCGGAAAGTGAACCGCGTTAGAGTGAGGGATCACCGTATTGTTAACCGGAGAAGTAGGTAGGTACATTCACTTTAATTTTATGTTGACAATCAGAAATGTACTGGACGAATAAAAGTAAAAAGGCTGATTACTCTATTTGTGCCGTGTACAATAAAATTGATCATCAAAGGATATAACAACAGTTTTAACAATTCTGGCTTCTCCCCCAGGCCATAATGCGGGCATTCTCCAGGGAGGCTTTGGAGTTATACATCCCGGTCATCCAGGAGGAGATTCGCGCCGCCGTGAACGAGTGGCTGGCGAGAGATTCTTGTGTGCTGGTGTACCCAGAAATGAAGCGTCTGATGTTCCGCATCGCCATGAGGATCCTTCTGGGCTTCGAGCCGGAGCAGATTAGGACCGACGAGCGGCAACTGGTCGAGGCGTTTGAGGAGATGATCAAAAATCTTTTTTCTCTGCCCATTGATGTGCCATTCAGTGGATTGTACAGGGTAAGAAAAACAAGTTTTGCTTTCTTCCCCTTAAGCCGGATGTGCTATTTTAGCCTCTTCATTCTGCCCTGTGTTTTATTTTCTAGGGTCTGAAAGCTCGGAATTTCATCCATTCCAAGATCGAAGAGAACATCAAAAAAAAGATCCAGGAGTCACCGAAAGAGTCCAAACACGGAGATGCTCTGCAGCAACTCATAGACAGCAGCAGTAAGAACGGCGAGACATTTAGCATGCAGGTAACAACAACACTGACGACCCCGACGACATTGTCTCGTTTGGCGTTTGGGGGGGGGAAAAAAAAACCCAACAAAGCGACGTTCCTTCCCCGCAGGCTATTAAGGAGTCTGCTACAGAACTACTATTCGGGGGGCATGAAACCACCGCCAGCACGGCTACCTCTCTGATTATGTTTCTGGGCCTCCACCCTGAAGTGGTGGAAAAATTGAGGCAGGAGCTGATTGATAAGGTAATATCACGTGAATGGAAACCCGTTGAATTTCCGGTCGTAATAAATATCCTCACCGCTCTCCTTTTGCGTTCAGGAGGAGGAAGGAATGCAACTGCAGAGTTTGAACATCGAATCTTTGGAGCATTTGAAGTATACTGGTTGCGTGATTAAAGAGACATTAAGGATAAACCCGCCCGTCCCCGGAGGCTTTCGAGTGGCGCTAAAAACATTTGAACTCAACGTAAGTTCAAGATCACCGACGCTCGCCATCTCTATTCTGTCTTCCTCTACTCACCGACCTTTAACCTTTTCAGGGATATCAAATTCCCAAAGGTTGGAACGTCATTTACAGTATCTGTGACACCCACGACGTGGCAGATATCTTCCCCAACAAAGAAGACTTCCAGCCCGAGCGCTTCATGACAAAACCTTTGACGGACTCCACGAGGTTCCAGTACATTCCTTTTGGCGGGGGCTCAAGGATGTGCGTCGGAAAAGAGTTCGCCAAGGTCCTGCTGAAGATCTTTCTGGTGGAAGTGGTCACAAAGTGTCACTGTACTCTCTTAAACGGGCCACCCATGATGAAAACGGGACCGACCGTTTATCCTGTGGACAATCTGCCAACTAAGTTTACCCACTACGTTCAAAATTAATCGAGACCTTTTCAAAAGCGGCGTGCTTGAAAATCTTCTCGGTAGTCACAAATCATTGTTTGTTTTCTGTAAAAAACAATTTGGAAGCATTCGGGTGTGCGGAGGTTTTAATTTTGCCCTTATGTTGTTTTTTTTTTGTTTGTTTTTGTTTTTTTTTTTTGCAATGGCCTGTACATTCTGTAAATATTTGGAAAACATTTTATATGGTGGTTCTGTGTTCCGTATATACTGTATATATATATTTTAAGACGAGAGATCCAACTAAACAAGAGGCACTATTTACACATTGAAACACTTTAATCAGTTCAGTGATGTATCTTTTAGGGTGATGTAAATATTGTAGAGAGTTTGTTATATAACTTTTGTACCTTTTTAACGTCAAGTTATTTAAATGATGTTGTATTGTGTTGGCTTTCTATTTAATAATAATAAAAAAAAAAAAAAAAACTTTTTGTGAGTAATTCATGTTTCCAAATCCATTTAAGCGTGCTTGACTTTACGGGAACAAAAAAATAGACTCGCTGGGTTTCCGTGCATGATATTGGCGGGTAAACTGTAATGTGACCTCTGATCATCTCCAGGATTTTCTCTCCCGACTCTAGACTTGATCACTAGGCGGGACTGAGAAATTAATTTATGAATAGATTTTAGAATCTCAAATAAAATGCTGGAAGGGATTAACTGGGGCTACATAGATTCCTAACAGGGCTAAAGCCCCCCCACCCCAACCACCCAACCAGTAGTAGTGCCCTCCCTGCCCCCGATTGTGTGTCTGTGTGGGACCAAGCCCCATAGCGACGGGGGTGCTATTAAAATAATTTCAAGACGATAATGATCCCAATCCATTCACTGAATTGATTTTCACAATGATTCAGATGGACTGTCCCGCGCTGGTGTTTATGAATGAAATCCCCATGACTTCCACCACACATTTCTGCGAAGCGCCGAATTTATCTGCCTAACGCCTCAATAAAATACACTAAAATACACAACTTGCTTTTCGCAAGTCTAAAATCAAATCGAATTCTTGGAACCAATTTTGCAAACGTGCCAGTAGGTGCGGCAGTACCGCCAGGGAGGCTTAAAGGGATTCGACCATCGAAACCACGCGCCCGGTTTTAGGCCGAGCGGTCCTCACGCCATGCATCGAAAAATCGAGAGGAAAAAGAAAATAAGGGGAGAATTCTGGAATCCATAGAAGAAGACAAAAGAAAAAGCAAGAGGGGCTGATGACCCTGGCAGATGATCAGACTGAGGGTGAAACAGAGTTCAGACTGTGATCAGTTCAGTTTCAGGCCACTGAACCAATACAGACCTCCAGTGGAACAGCAGAAATGGTCCAGCGGCATGACGGGTGCGGCACCCGATGTGTCCTGCAAGTTTCGGGCCTAAAAACAGTATCACATAAAGGAAAACAAATGTAATACGCTGGTGTCAAACCGTGATCTGACAAGACAATATGTTTCTACAAGTTACGACAATACCCAAACTGCGAACTACTATGAAGTTACTTCTGCTTCTTGTTTTCTTTCTTCCTCAGAAAGACAAAACGAGCAAGACTAAATTCATTGGTGTCCATCACTAAAACCATCCATCCATCCATTTACCGATCCACTTTATCCTCACTGGGGTCGCGGGGGGTGCTGGAGCCTATCCCGGCCGTCTTCGGGGGACACCCTGAACCAGGTTGCCAATGAATCGCAGGGCACGCGGAGACGAAAAAACCAATCACGCTCACAATCACACCTAGGGACAATTTAGAATGTTCAATCAGCCTGCCATGTATGTTTTTGGGAATGTGGGAGGAAACCGGAGTACCCGGAGAAAACCCACGCAGGCCCGGGGAGAACATGCAAACTCAAACCCACGACCTCTGCACTGTGAGGTCGACGCGCTAACCACCGGTCCACCGGGCCGCCCAAATTCCATTTCAAAAGTGTAAATTATTGACTCTGGGTTTTTTTTTTTCGTAGCTGGCCGCATATATATATATCCAGGCACTCCAAAAGGCATCCTCACTGGCAAGATGTGCTTTTGGCCTTATTTGCAAGTTGTTTTTCTTTCTGGGTGCCATTGTGATTTACCCGCCGCCTCCTTCCACTCCATGACGACTACCTGGCATTGTACTCTTGTCCATGGCCCATGTTTATGACCGTGCTTCTTGCAATTATTGGATCCGCCATTGTTGAACTCTTGTTACTTTTGCAAGCCATTCTGGATACGAGTTTTCGCTTCATGCCAAAATTGTGACAGTAAATTGCCGCTGACACCTTTATGTCCCGCCATCCTATCCCGGCAGGTCCGGCCCGTTGAACGATGTGAGTGAACTTTTCTGAACTTTGCCTCTAATTTTCACTCTAAAGCACATCGCTTTCCTTCCATTGTTCCCTATCACTCGGTGAGGACAAAAATTTGTAGGGCATGACCATTTTTGTCCAAATTTGGGACTATCGTCATGAATTTACAATATGGTGTGAAAAACCGTGAAGACTCTCTCTCTCTCTCTCTCACACTCTTTCTCTCTCTCTCTTTGAATGAAGTCATAAGGCATGGACACAATCCACAAAAAAATCATTGTTGCTCCGTAACTATGGACAACGGGTGAACAACAACAACAACAGAAAGAGAAAGAAATAGTCACAAATGAAATAAAAGTAAAATAAACAAGTCCCCGCATTAATTCGGTGCTCTTCATATATAGTACAATGTTAAAATAATGACTGGCTTTATTTCTAACGAGCTCAAATGTATGTTTGAATGAAACTGTCCAATACGATCGGGGGAGATGAATCAATCTCTATGAAGGATTCAGGAAATATTTTTCATTCGTATTGTCACGCAACTTCTTTTACTGTCTTCTTTCTTTTTCAAATTTCAATCCCAAGACAGCAAATAAATGAACCCTTTCATGCACCAATAAATGACAACCCCGTAAGCTGATAACATGATCAGCTGTCCATTGTCATAACCGCTGTCCCCCAGAAAGGGTTAACGCTAACTTGAACAGTTAGCGATTTTGAGTCGAACTGTTTACATGCTCACGTTTTACGAAGCGTCTGTTTCAAACAATCAGATGGGGAAAAATCTCATCAAGGGAAAGTCTGCCGTCTCAACGGCGACGGTGCTTCATCATTCTCAACGATGATCAACTCAAGTTAAAGTATCTGATGGCGTGAGCAAGGTCATTCAGAGACAATCAACTTATCGCATCTATAATGGCGACGCCATTGTAATTCAATTGGAGTGTCGATTCCCTAAAACCACATTAACATGGTGTTGGCTGGCCCCCCGCTGGTCCCTGCTGTGGACTAATATGAGTGCTCGATAAGAGATGCTAATGGCGTCGTTAGCATGGTTGTTAGTGTCTCACTGTGATTATTCATAATTGAAGGGCCGAGAGTTGTCTGTTGACAAGTTCACCGGGTCAGCTGGGGGTCAGCACCCTGGAGGAGCGGAGATGGTGGTTGGGGGGGAGGGGGGGACTTACGCCAACAGTTCTTTATCATATCTTTCACCGTATTATCATACAGTGTATGTTATATGCTTATCATACACTCGCCTCGAATCAATATGAGTGATCCATTTCTTTGCAAAATTCATAACCTGCGACTCAGATCGAGCTTTCTGACATTGAGCAGCACATTTCCTTCTTCAATACCTTGATAGTCTTGAGATTTCATTGTATGTACCCTGTACGGATTCAAGATGCCCCGTGCCAGATGTAGCAAAGCACCCCCAGAACATAACAGAGCCCCCTCCATGTTTCGCAGTTGGGACAGTGTTCTTTCCCAGGTATGCAAGATTTTCGCGGCATCTGTCTGCGAACGTAGAGGTGACGTGATTTGGTCTATGCTTCCATATGACATTCTCTCAAAAGTTTTGTGGCTTGGCAACACCCAGTCAAGCTAGTTCCTGTCTAGCTTTATGATAATTTATTTTCAACAGTGGTGTCCTCCTTGGTCATCTCTTAAACCACAGGTGTCAAAGTCAAGGCCCGGGGGCCAGATCTGGCCCACCACATCATTTTATGCGGCCCGCAAAGGCAAATCAAACATGGCAACTTCCATGATGCTTGCTAAAATATGGACCAAAATTTGAAGTTCTCATATGTAATAAATAATAGAGATATTGTAAGCATTTTCTTGTTTTTTCATACACCTCTTTACAGTAACTTAAACAATAGTTGAATAAATTGTTATTCTTGACTTCTTCATATGATTTCAGTCAAAATGGCCCTCCAAGGGAAACGGTAACTAAAATGTGGCCCACGACAAAAATTTGACACTCATGTCTGAAACAATATAATTTAATATGTGTATTTTTTCTTTCTTGAGCATGATTTCAGTTCATATAAAAAGGAGATTATTTTGTGTGTAAATATTTATTTTTTCCAATGTACCTAGTTGTCATAATGGTAAAGATATAAATGACCGTAATATTCATTTAATTTTATACTTCACCCTTTCATGCACCAATAATGATAACCTGTAACATGATAACATGATCAGCTGTCCACTGTAGTAACCGCCGTGCCTGAAAGGGTTAAGTACATTTGATTGTAGTTTTTTTTTTTAACTTTTACTTAATTGCAGGAGATTAATCACGACTTCCACTGGTCTTATTTATTGATTTTTAAACATTTTTTTTTGTTTTTACGCCTTTGTACTCCAACTTTCGTGACTGAGTACTTTTGCCACCTCTGCGGAGCACTCATGAGCCTTCTTTGCATCTCCACAGTAGTCCTTCCATATCTTCACACTTTTTTTTTTTTCCTGGCACTTCTTTCTTCAACCTCATTACTGAAGCTAACAAGATAATTAACCTGTCCCACAACTGACCGTCCTGATGGGAGCCTCCGCCTTGTTGACACTTGGCCTCACCTTTTCAAGTACAAATTTGCAGTCCTAATGTCATGTTGATTTTTATATTTATCTTTGTTAGCGTTGGCCTTGCGCTCAGCTTTAACTTTTAAAATGCAAAATGACGACTAAATACCGAGCTGCTTATTATAGGCTGCGTGCATACATTGATGTGAGCTCAGGGAGCTCTGCTGCCGCGTATGAGAACGATCAAACATTGGCTAAAAACGACGACAAAAGTTTTGTCTTAAAATTGCTTTCTCTCTTGATGACTGCTCTCAGGGGTACTCAGATAAATTGTGAGGTGCATAAATCTACAAAGTAAGACAGAAACAAGCCTGCGGCAGCTACTCTTATATTGCTTACACTTACAGCATCTTATATCGCACACGTCGACACAATTTTACTCTAATTTTTGCTCAATTTGTGCAACTTTTTGAGGCTTTCGTGCGTCTTTGTATGGGTAGACTGGAATTAGAACAGAATAAATCAGCAATTTTTCCAATTTGAATTGACGCCACATTGTACTGGGGGCTTGATGGAACTAACAATGGCAGTTGTCTTGGA